TGGTAAAACTCTTCTGCACCCTCTCCAAAGCCTCCACATCCTTCCTGTAATGTGACAACCAGAATTAAACACAATACTCTAAGCGTGGTTTAACCAAAGCCTTATAAAGCTGCAACATGACATCCTGACTCTTGTACTCAATTCCCCGACCAATAAAGGCAATAATGCCATATGCCTTTGTTACTGCCTTATCTACTTGCGTGGCCACTTTCAGGGAGCTGTGGACTTGAACCCCAAGATCCTTCTATACATCAGTGTTGTTCAGAGTCCTGCCATTAGCTGTATAGTTTTCCTTAACATTTGATCTCCCAAAATGCAGCACTTCACACTTAACCAGATTAAACTCCATCTGCCATTTCTGTGTCCATATCTGCAACTGATCTATATTGTGCTGTATCCTTGGACAACCTTCTGCGTTATCCACACCTCCACCAATCTTTGTATCATCTGTAAGCTTACTAGCCCACCCATCTACATTTTCAGTTAAGTCATTTATATATATCACAAACAGCAGAGGTCCCAGTACAGATCCCTGCAGAACACCACAAGTCATGGACCTCCAGCCTGAAAAACACCCTTCCACCACTACCCTCTGCCTTCTGTGGGCAAGTCAATTTTGAATCCACGTGGCCAAGTCACCATAGATCGCATGCATCTTAATCTTCTGGATGAGCCTACCATGAGGGACCTTGCAAAAACCCTTACTAACATCCATGTAAACAACATCCACTGCTCTACCCTCATTCGTCACCTCCTCAAAAAATTACATCAAGTTAGTAAGACATGACCAAACCTGCACAAAGCCATGCTGACAGTCCCTAATTAGGCTGTGATTTTCCAATAGCTTCCCAACCACTGATATGAGACTCACCAGTCTACAGTTTCCTAGATTATCCCTATTCCCCTTCTTGAACAGAGGAACAACATGAGCTACTTGCCAGTCAACTGTGATCTCTCCAGTGGTTAGAGAGGATACAAAGATCTTGGTCAAGGCCCCAGCAATTTCCTCTTTTGCCTCTCTCAGTAACCTGGGGTAGATACCATTGGGCCCTGCGGACTTATCCACCTTAATGCTCTTTAAAAGATCCAACACCACTTCTTTCTTGATCCCAAAATGCCCTAGCCTATTAACACGTTCCACACAAATCTCACTATCCTTCATATCCTTCTCTGGGTGAATACTTATGCAAAGTACTCATTTAGGATCTCACCTACATCTTCTGCCTCCAATTACAACTTCCCTCCTTTATCCTTGAGTGGTCCTACCTTCTCCATGGTTGTCCGATTTTTTTTTTTTTTTTTTTTTAAATGTATCTATAGAATGCCTTTGGATTCTCTGTAACCCTACTGGCCAAGGCCATTTCATGCCCCTTCTTCTCTCCTAATTCCCTGCTTGAGTACTTTCCTGCCTTCCTTATTTTCCTCACGGACCCTGCCCGATTTTAGCATTCCTTAATTCTTGTATAAGTTCTTTTCTGCTTCCTTTATATTCTTCAAGAGCTTTGTATGATTTCAGTTTCCTAAACCTTAGATATGCTTTCTTTTCTCTTTCTTTTTGATTAAAGCTTCAATAACTCTTGTCACCCAAGGCTCCTGAATCTTGCCATCCTTATCTCTTATTCTCACAGAAACATGCTGGTCCTGAACTCTGATCAACTGGCTTTTAAAAGGTTCCCGCATGTCAGTGATGGATTTGTCCTCAAACAGCCATCCCCCAAACCAATTTCTTCACTTCCTGCCTGTTGTAATTAGCCTTCCCCCAAATTAGCACTTACATGCATGAACCAGACTTATCCTTATTTATAACTATCTTAAAACTTATGGAATTATGATCACTGGTTCCAAAATCCACCTCCCCCCCCCCCCCCTCAAAACTTCGATCACCAGGCCATACTCATTCCCCAATGCAATATCTAGCATGACCCCTTCCATAGTTGGACTATCTACATATTTTGCAAGAATTTCTCCTGGATACACTGAACAACTTCTACCTCACCCTAGGCCCGTGGCACTAAGAGTGTCCCGGTCAATGTTGAGCAAAGTAACACGAGCCCCTATCACATGCTGTTGTTTTTACATCTTTCCATGATGTGCCTCCATGATCTTCCCACTGGGTGCTGGGAGGCCAATGGTGTAGACCCATCATAGTGGTTGCACCTTTCTTATTGCCTCATTGGATGAGTCGTCAAAGATGTACTCTGTAATATTCCCCTTAATCTGTAATGCCCCTTTTTAAACCCCCTTTTTATATCCCTCTCTATTTCGCCTGAAACCTTTAAACCCTGGAATGTTGAACTACCAGTCCTGCCCTTCTCTCAACCAAGATTCTGTAATGGCTACCACATTGTAGTCCCATCTACTAATTCGGGCTCCAAGCTCACGTGCCCCATCTGCTGTACTCCTTGCATTAAAATAGCACCAGTTCATTAATCTCACGTGTACTTCCTATTAGACTTGCTTGACTCAACATCTACCTTCTCCTCAATCACTCCACGTGCTGACCTACTGCTTTGGTTTCCAAAGCCCTGCCACACCGGTTTAAACCGTCCCACGTGGCACTAGCAAACCTCTCTGCAAGGACGTTGGTCCTCTTCCAGTTTAGATGCAACCTGTCCTTCTTGTACAGGCCCTGCCTGCCCTGGAAGAGATCAAAATCATCCAGATGTCTGACTCTCTCTTCTACATCAACCATGCATTCAGTTGTATTATCTTACAATTTTGGTCTCACTAGCGCATGGTGCAGGGAGTAATCCTGAGATTACAACTCTAAAGGTCATGCTTTCCAACTTTCCACTTGACTCCTTTAATTTCCCTTGTAGAACCTCGTTTCTCTTTTTGCTTATGTCGTTAATATGAATCACAACCTCTGGCTGCTCACCCTCCCTTTTCAGAATACTGCCTCAGAGACATCCTTGATCCTGGCAGCAGGGAGGCAACATACCATCCTGGAGTCTCTGTAGAACTGCCTGTCTGTGACTGTAATTATAGAGTCCCCTAGACAGATGAGGAGAGGTTGTTTCTACTTGTGAAACAGTTTAGAGCAGACGGCATCATCTCAGTGAGGAGATACCCATTTAAGACTGAGATGAGGAGGAATTTCTTCTGAGGGTAATGAATCTGTGGATTTTTTTTACTGTAGAGGGCTGTCAACACTGGGTTGTTGAGTATATTCAGGACTAAGACAGACAGAGTTTTAATCAATAAGGGAATCAAGAGTTATGGGGCAAAGGCAGGAAAGTGGATTTGAAGATGATCAGATCAGTCATGATTTTATTGAAGGGCTTAGCAGACCTGATGGGCTGAATGGCCTACTTCTGCTACTGCATCTTACAGACAGCAGTTAGAGATGAGAACAAATGTGGCCTTGCCAGCAACACCCAAATCCAAAGAGAGAAAACAAAAACTGTTTTCTACCTTTATTCGGATTAAATGGATATGTTTTGCATTTAGCATGGGACACTCTTCATTCTGGAGGTTCAGCTTTGGATGCAGTAGAGAAAGGTTGCAGTCAGTGTGAGTTTGAGCAGTGTGATGGCACTGTGGGATATGGAGGAAGCCCGGATGAACATGGGGAGACAACACTGGATGCTATGATTATGAATGGGTAAGTCAAAAAAACTGACCACTGTGCATAATAGAACTTTATCCGTTTGCAATTGAATCTTCAGGATCGATTTATGTAATGAATTACACCAATTTGCTGCAAATACCTTTGTTCAAAACAAGATCTAGCTTCAAAATTTTTGTTTTTTTTCCATTACATTTTATTTGCCTTTCAACCTATTATACTGACTGCAGTAATAGGCAACTTTGTGCAAAAGTTGACGATTGGCTGAAAAATCCGTTATGTTTCACATACTTTATGCTCACATTTTGAAACCGGTTTGTCAGGAACACCCGAGTGAGTCTTTCTGTCAATCGCTCTTTTTCCACTTGTGTTCCAGAGGATAGTGGAGTGGGTTTTGGAGTCCAATGTGGCCACACTGGTAAAACTGTTAGATTTCCTTACCTAAAGTACGTCAGTGACATTAGAACAATTGTGGCATGATCTTCATGAGGCCATATATCTTTACCTCTCTATTTAAATTTCACCATTTGCTTTGGTGGGATTTGAACCCAACATTAGCTTGAGGTTCTGGATTAATTCCAGTGACACTACCACGATGCCACCACCTCCCCTCACGTATTAGGTATAAGTTGACCTTTTTATTTTGATTAATGTTTGGTCTCAAAAAAACTCAACTTTTACATGAGTAGGTATAATTACTGGAGGAGCATTAGTCTTCCTTTTTCCCACATTCCCCAAATGTTTGAAATGGATTATGCTCCCCTCACTAAATCTCAGAACTGCGCAGTCCATTTTCTTGTATGTGGTTGGAAATGCATTTTAATTGAATTACACACAGTTCACAATATGTGTAAAGTCCGCATATGATTCATGCAATCTATTTCAAGTTAATGTGATATTTAATATTTTTAATGAGAACACTGTGAACATGAACTTTGATGTGGCAGAATGATAGCATGCCATCTGTTAATTGAAACATAAACATTGAAATTCTTCACTCACACGTTTATATACATATTGTTAAAACTCTTCAGTAACACAATTGAGGTTGGAGCAGTTGGAAATCTGCGAAGAATTAAAAGTGCAATCAGTGTTGCAAGAGCAGTGATGGAACATACTAGTCATTCATTGTTGGTGGGAGAGTCAGGTAAGTCTCCATTGTTCATTACCGATAAAAGAACTTGTATTAACATTTTCTTGTTTTTCAATGTATTTAATTTATTCATGAAATTTATAAAAGTACGTTGTATGACATTGGAAACTTGGCATTACCTATAGTGATAATCCATATCAGTTTTTTTCTTATGCTCTATGTCCACTAATGTGTTTACAAATGCAGCTAATATTCACAAATTTCATTACATGTCAAACTACAGCCCAAGGGGTTTTACCCAGTTTCCAAGCCTTTAGCATTGATGGCTTGACAGGCCTTTGTTGTTTCGGCCCATAGCATCTATGCAGCAGCTGACCTAAGCTTTCTTGCTGCCCTAGACTTGTGAATGTGTTGGCACGCAACACTTGGTGGTAGACAAACATTTTGCAAAGGAAGACTGGAAATTTCAAGCAGTTCAAAGCACATCTTGCCCTAACTTCCCAAGCAGCAATTAAACTAACTATGCATTGCAAAGAAATGACAAGCTCAAGTTAAGAAAGATACACACATTTAATGACTGACTGGATGCTCCAAGATAATAAGACCAGGCGCAATTTATTTTTTTGTCTTCATTTGATTGATTTTGAATATTCAACAAAAATCTAATGGCTCCATTTTTATTTGAAGGCAGTTTTTAAAAAATGTTTCTAGTTTCGTTCAGTTTCTCGATGTGCACTCTTCAAAAAAGTGCACAGTTATGGTTTATTCTGGATTAATTATGTTACAGTCAGCAAGTAATAATGCTGGAAAGCAGAATGTCCTTTATTTGAAGCAATGATTTGGGTTTAATGTATTGGAAAAGATTCATATCACACAGAGTAAATCATGTAATGCTGCATTGTATTGCTGATTGTATTGATTTATTTGTTTACTTACTGGGAGAAATGTAAGTCAGGTTTTTGCAAAATGTAACAAGGCCTTTTTAGTAATTAGCTTAGAAGCCGATCTTAAATAATTAACTAATTACTTGAGATAATGGATGGTTTTTGCAATCTTTAATGATTCTGTGCCTCCTGCCTCCAGTCTCCAGTGATGCAAGAATGATATTATACGCAATAGAGAGGAACAGACTTAATTCCCCCTTTTTGCTTGAAATTGCTGTCAAGATCAAATTGATTTTGGTCATATTTCCTTTCCTGATGTAGGAGCAAAATATTGCTCATACTGGAGATCTGAAATGAAAACAACGTGCTGGAGTTGACCTTTTGCACAGTTCTGAAGAAGAGTTTGGACTTGAAATGTTGACTTTGTTGCTCTCTCCACAAATACTGCCAGAGCTGCTGAGTTTCTCCAGCACTTTGTTTTCACTCTGACCATCAACTTAACCATCAGGAACAATGTTCCGGACTCTCTCTCCAGCGGGAAATGGTTAATTGAGAATAGTCCAAGCTGAGGACAACCTAATACAATCTAGAGATTGCATCCCTTGCATTGCTTTTTTTTTGAGGTTGAGCTGGTCTGAATTTAGCTTTGGCCAGCTCATATGAATACATGGCCTTTGATACATTTTGTGCCAGTTCTTAAATATGTTGACAGACAGCCAAGACTTCATTCCTGGGTCGACTTGGTGTACAGAAAACTGATACGTTTGGAAATGCTAAGTGGGTGGCACGGTGGCTCAGTGGTTAGCACTGTTGCTTCACAGCGCCAGGGACCTGGGTTCAATTCCACCCTCGGGTGACTGTGTGGAGTTTGCATATTCTCCCCATGTTTGTTTGGGTTTCCTCCCATAGTCCAAAGATGTGCAGGTGAGGTGGATTGGCCATGCTAAATTGCCCGTAGTGTCCAGGGATGTTTAGGTTAGGTGGGTTAGACATGGGAAATGTAGGAGAATGTGTCTGGGTGGGATGCTCTTCAGAGGGGCGGTCTGGGCCCAAATGGCCTGTTTCCACACTGTAGGGATTCTATGATTCTATGAAATTTCCTTAGAGTACGTGGGATAGGGGAAGTACCAGAAAACAGTCAGTGGTCTGCCTGGAATTCATTTCCCAATCTTTGTATTGCTAAAGGATAATTAAAGGTCTGAGACTTAGAAGGTCAGTTGCAACGTCTTGGGTGCACTTAACAAGATTATTCGGGGACTGTATAGACAGGGCACAGTTAGGCATTTCTGTGGCTATGAGTGAGACTCTAGAAAGATGTGTTTCAAATGTATAAGTCATGTTTCAACTGTGTAAGACTTCAGTTAGGCTATGTTTGGAGTATTGTGTCCAATTCTGGTCACTATAGTACAGGAAGGATGTGGAAGCATTGGAGAGGGTACAAAAGATGTTGCCTGTGTTGGGTTATATTAGCTTTAAGGAGAGGTTGGACAAACTTGGATTGTTTTCTCTGGAGCATTGGAGGCTGAGTGGCAACCTGATGGAAGTTTACAAATTTAAGAGAGACATGAATAGGGTGGATAGTCGGAGTCTTTTTCCCAGGGTTGAAATGTCAAAAACCAAGGGGCATACTTTTAAGGTGAGAGGGGGAAAAGTTTAATGGAGATGTGCAGGACAAGTTTTTTTTACACAGAGGGTGGTAGGCGCCTGGAAAGTACTGCCAATGTTAGAAGCAGATACGATAGCAACATTTAAAAAGCATTTAAACAGACATATGAACAGGCAAGGAATAGAGGGATACAAACCATATACAGGCAGATGGGTTTAGTTTAGAATGGCATTGTCATTGAAACAGAGATGGTGGGCTGAAGGGCCTGTTCCTATGCTGTACTGTTCTATGTATCAATGCAATATCTTTGAACTTCTCACATGAAGGTAACGTTTTTCCAACAGCATCAATCTTTGCTCAAAATATGGGATTCCTCAGTGAAGACTTAACATCAAATAAATCTCTGTCCATCCATGCAGAATGGCTGAGCAAAAAATGCCAGCCCAATTTCTGGAAGGTGAGTGTCACTTTTGTCAAGGATGAGGCCTATTAAATATTTTAACTTGTTTTCTGATATGATATGAAAATTAATAAGACTTTCATGATATTACCAACTGTTGTGTTTTTAAAAAAATTGATTTTCACAGAATGTCTTTCCAAATGCTAAAACTTCTTGTGGACCGTATAAGCGAAAGAAGGGGCAGTGGTCAAAAAGACATAGAATGCCAGCACACGTGGTCAATGTTCACAACCATGACACCATTGGTAAGTTCTTTCCAAACCTGCAATGTCTACCACCTTGAAGGGAACGGCACGGTGGCTCAGTGGTTAGCACTGCAGCCTCACAGCGCCAGGGACCCGGGTTTGATTCTACCCTCGGGCGACTGTCTGTGTGGAGTTTGCACGTTGTCCCTGTGTCTGTGTGGGTTTCCTCCGGGTGCTCCGGTTTCCTCTCACAGTCCAAAGATGTGCAGGCTAGGTGGGTTGGCCATGCTAAATTGGCCATGCTCTGTGGGTCGGTGTGGACTTGTTGGGCCGAATGGCCTGTTTCCACACTCTAGTGATTCTATGATACAGACTGCCGCTTGAAAACACCACCACTTTCAAATACTCTTGCAAGCCGAACACCATCCTGCCTTGGAAATATGCTGTTTATTTACCCTTTTGGATCAATGTCCTGGAATTCCTTCCCTGATATTACTTTGGGAATATCTACTCCCATTGGAGTGCAGCTGTTCAAGAAGGCAGCTTGTCATTACCATGTTCTTGAGGGTAACAAGAGATGGGCAATAAATGCTGGCCCAGTCAGTGATGCCCACATCCCATGAATTAATTAAGAAACAAATACATGCTTGTACAGAAAGTAGGTAGACAGGTAATTGGTTTATTGGAAAAAAATTATCTTGGCTGCATGTACAGGTATTCATAGTTCACCACATAGCTATAGACAATAATTAAAAGGGAAATACGATATAAATGAATTGTACAACTATTAACTTTACTATATATAAATAATTCAAAATAAATTGTAAAAAGTAGGTCTCTTTAATTTCTGATTAAATTGGTAATAAGATTGTTAAGAAGGCATACGAGACACTTGCCTTCATCAGTCGTGGCATAGAATATAAAAGAAGGGAGGTCATTGTTAGATCTGTACCGAACTTTGGTTAGGCCACAGCTGGAGTACTGTGTGCAGTTCTGGTCACCACACTATAGGAAGGATGCGATTACACTCGAGGGGGTGCACCCTCGATTCACCAGGATGTTTCCTGGGATAGAGCACTTCAGCTCTGAAGAGAAGCTGGATAAGCTTAGGTGGTTATCTTTGGAGCAGAGAAGTTTGAGTAGAAACCGAAAGAACTGCGGACACTGTAAATCAGGAACAAAAACAGAAGTTGCTGGGAAAGCTCAGCAGGTCTGGCAGCATCTGTGAAGAAAAAAATCATTGTCAACGTTTTGGGTCCAGCGACCCTTCCTCAGAACTTAACCTCCGTTGAGAAACGTTAACTCTGATTTATATTTTCACGGATGCTGCCAGACCTGCTGAGCTTTTCCAGAGAAGTTTGAGTGTTGTCCTGATAAAGATGTAGACATTTTCTAATTAATTTGTTCAGTGACGTCATTGCATATCTCTGGCACAGGTGGGTCTTCAACAGGATAACCTCACAACCTTTCAAAAGTGCTTGGATGAGCACTTGAAATGTCATAACATTCAAGATTATGGGCCAAGTGCTGGAAAATGGGACTAGTGTAGTTAGTGCAGGCACAATAGACACAATAGACCACAGAGCCTCTTCTGTGCTGTATTAATCTCTGATTAATGAAAGATCTACTGCACTCTGCAATTTGTATTAAAGCTCACTCATAATATGCTGTCAGATTGAGTTCATTAAATTCTCAATCATTTACATATGGTTTATGACTTTCATAAAGTAGGCGTTTGGGATTTATCATGATTCATTTTATGTCTTTTATGTGAAGTTTTCTCTTGAATTCCATTGCACATTACTTATGGCCACAACTACATGAACGTCAAAATGAACTTTACAGCTACTCATGCAGTTGTGTGGAGTTATAGATTCCTGTATGATGTTTTGTCATTGAATTTTTGAAATTAGGTATGATTGTAATTGATAAGAGTAGAAGTATAGTGGCTGGAACATCTACCAATGGTGCAACGCATAAAATCCCAGGGTATGTATTTTTCTGTTTTAAAGCTTCCAGTTAATCTTTCTGTTTCTGTATGTCTCGCTATCTCTGGTTCGCTGTTTGTCTCGTGCACTCTCTCCATCTGTCTTGCGCTCGTGTTCTCTGTCTCTCATATTAGCATAAGGATTGTCGACTTGACTAAATATTGTTTGGGCCAACAGCGTCACTTACTTTGAAAGTTCAGAGATAGCAAGAACTGTAGATGCTGGAGTCAGAGTCAATACAGTGTGGAGCTGGAGGAACTCAGCAGGCCAGGCAGCATCAGAGGAGCAGGAAAGTTCACGCTTCGGGTTTACGCCCTTCATCAGGTGCTGATGAAAGGTCTAGTCCCGAAACATCGACTTCCTGCTCCTCTGATGCTGCCTGACCTGCTGTGTTCCTCCAGCTCCTCACTGTATTTACTTTGAAAGTTCTTTAGCAAATGATGATAAAGTCATCAACATCACTTACAAATTTGAGTGAACCTCTGGCAGTATTTGGGGCTAACTGTTGTTTTTGCTAAATGCCTTCATTTGTTATTGGATCATGAGTTACAGTAAGATGCCATCCCCTTGTGTTGCTTTTAGTGTGTGACTTCCGTCAAGTATTTTCTCTTGCCTTGTATTTTTGTCATAGTTGGCATAATGTTCCAGTTAATTGGAAATTTCAAATTAAACTGATATGACAATTAAAGTATGGAATTAAAATCTAGTGGAAAATCCGTCCTGCTCCATTACTGCCCGGGCAGTGAAGTTGAAAATTATCCCCATAATGTAAAACCTTGAGTGTTTAACAGATGGCAATTTATTGATATCAACATATGTTTTTAAATGTGTTTCAAACAGTTGACTGGATAGCACTGCACCTTCTAAAATTGGTTTGAAAGCAACCCAGCACTATTTTTTTTGTCACAATGGCTGGAGCATATTATTTGATGAATTTTGTTGTAAAAATTTGTGTTAACATCCCCTGACAGCTTGTTAAAAACAACCACTTGTATTTATAACATGCTTGCAATACAAAGTCTCCTTCCAAAGTGCTTCACAAATAATGATGCTGAAGAAAATTTGGCCACAATGAGATATTAGGGCAAAATGAGATGTGAGTTTCAGGAGTATCTTAAAGGGGAAAAGCGAGGAAGGCAGAAGGAATTTCCAGAGCTGAAGAAATCCTTTTGTCGGTTAGAGCTGAGGAGAGCTTTGGAAGGTGAAGTCCAGAGGTTAAGAAGTCAAGGAGATTGGTTTCAGCAGTTGATAAGCTGAGTTGAACAATTTCGTGGAGGTGTAATTAGGTCTTCTTAGTGATAGTACAGACGTGTTCAGGAGCTCATATCTGTGTCATGTGTGACACCAAATCTAGTTCAGCAGGGAGGGGCAAGAATTTAATGGCCAGGTAATGGTGTTTATGGCAGGGATCAACACAATATTTAGTTAGACTAATTTCTGTTCATTTAGTACTCAATGTTAGACAGTCTGATAATTCCGAGACTGGAGGCATTGAGAGAGGTTATCATTCATAGGGCTGAGTGTTGTGCTATGGATTGAACATTTGAGTTAGGAGGGCTGAACTAATTCCTCTCTGCCACTGACCACAACAAAGCTCTTGACCTTTAAAAGCCACAATGTGGAGGTGCCGGTGTTGGCCTGGGGTGGACAAAGTCAGAAGTCACACGACACGAGGTTCACCTGACAAAGGGGCAGTGCTCCGAAAGCTTGTGGTTTCAAATTAACCTGTTGGACCTTAACTTGATAAGTTGTGCCTTCTGACGTTGACCTTTAAAAGGAACTGATTTTGGCAATTACATATTAGGTTTTATATAGGTCAGTATCAGAAACGAGTCAGTCAGTTTTCTCAAGTTAACAAATGAGGAATGGGTTTTTGTTTTCAAAGACTGTTGAGAAGTTGAAATACTTTTGCATCCCAGAATGATCCTGAAATTATGAGCAGTTTTCTCAGACAGAAGCAGGACCCGATAGTGATCCAGCCATATCTAGATCATAACTTATTTGCCATATCTGTTTGTTCGAGAACAATCACAATCATTTTAGTTGTTTGCCGTCTACATTCAAGAGTGTGTGTCCTTTGTGACTGAAAGAAGAGGCATTGGAGAACTGACCATGGTCAGAGAGAATATAGGGACTAGAGCATCAAAAATGGAGGTGAGGTTGGGCGTTGGATTACTAAACAAGGAGAAAATCCCAGGTTTAATACCTAATTTGTGTCTAGTTAATTTCTTGCCTAAACCTTCACCATTCTGCTGGCAGCTGTGCCTTCAGCTTGTGTTCAACTCCAGAATTCCTTTCCTAAATCTCTGTCTCTCTTTTTAAGGAGCTCCTATAAAAAAAAACCATGTTTTTTGACCAGGCTTTTGGTCAACCATTCCATTATCTTGTTTATTTGGCTTGTTGTCAATTTGATTTTGTTGACCATCGCTCCTGTGAAACATCTTTGGAAGTGTGACCATGTCAGTGGTGCTGTGTAAATGCAAGCTGTTTTTGTAGTATTGCAGTCAGCTGCATGCAAGCCTTTAATTATTTGAGGTAGAACATGAAAGAAAGGTCTAGGAGCTAATTCTAATCTCTTTCACTCAAATGGAATCGTGTATCATGAGATAATGGAAGAAAACCCATTAGTAATGTTTGAAAATTGTTGGTAGGACAATATACTGGAAGGCACAGTGAATATAAAGTGTATAATGCTTAAAAAAAAGTGCCAATATTTGACTTTCCATTTTCGGTGCACCACTGAGTCAATTTCAAGTAAACCTGGCTCTTGGGTAAATGTTTTCTAATATACTCATTCGAGAACATTGACTGCTATGTGAATTATTGTGTTCATTTAGTCCAGAGGCATTTCTTCCCCACTTACAGAATCATTGGGTGTTGAATTCTTCAGTGAATTAGCATGGTATTTCTAAGAATTTTTTAAACAGCAAAAGTTAATTTCTAGGGATGATCCAGATGGAGGAGCAAATTGTTGTAGATGCTAGAATCTGTACTGAAAACAACAGATGCTGGAGATCACAGTGGGTCAGGCGGCATCCATGGAGAGAGAGCACGTTTCACATCAGCTCTGATGATGAGTCATCTTGACTCAAAACGTTAGCTTGGTCTCTCTCTATGGATGCTGTCTGACCCGCTGTGATCTCCATGATCCGGATGGATATTTACTCAAAAGCAACAGTCATTTTATTTTCATTTTATTCACTCACGCGATGTGGGTGTCTCTGGCTAGGCCAAAATTTCTTGCCCGTCCCTAATTGCCCAGAGGGGAGTTAAGAATCAACTATAATACTGTGGGTCCGGAGTCACATGTAGACCAGACCAGGTAAGGATAGCAGTTTCCTTCCCTAAAGGACATTAGTGAATCCAGATGGGTTTTCAGGACAATCGACAACAATTTCATGGTCAGTATTCAAGCACTAGTTCCAGATTCATTATTGAATTCAAATACCACTAACTGCCCTGGTGGGATTTGAACCTGCGTCTCCAGAACATTCCCTGAGTTTATGGACTAATAGTCCAGCAATAACACCGCTAGGCCATCACCTCCCAATAATTATTTGTGTTTCTCATAGCCGTGTGGGAGATTCACCATTAGTTGGGGCAGGTGCTTATGCCGATAGCACAGCCGGAGCTGCAGCTGCGACTGGAATGGGCGATATTATGATGCGGTTTCTTCCAAGGTACGTCTTTGTTAACAGATCTGCTTTTTACCAGGTGATGGAGTTCAGAAGTAGGAAAGATCTAGCAGGGAGCAAACTTAAGACAGTGGATTTAGAGTGTATGGATGAGAAGGTGCATTGCCTTGTAAAGATAGTTACTGAGTTGTGCCTGCACATGGGACAAAAGTCTACATTTGACAATCAGTGGTGAACGAATGGCCCTTACGGCATAAGGAAACTCACCATTTGCTCCACTGGCAGCTGCCAATTAAGATTTGACTAGCTTTAAAGCAAGAACAGTGTTTGTTCCAGCATGAAGTCTCCGAACAAGGCATCTTCATGGTTGGGATCAGCACAAGAAATATTGAGTTTATTTACACAATGCTGAATTCAAAAAAAGTTAAGTTTCTGAGCTAATTTTCTTTGAGGGAACGAAACAGCACAGTTCTAAGTTTTGTTTCAAGCTGGGGAGTTTGTTCAGTTAAAACGCTTTGATTTCTGCATGCGCTAGCCCTAACATTTTGAGCTATCTTTCATGTGGAACTGGTGTATAAGGACAGTAGGGTCAAACTGTAAAATTCATTTCAATGTGGAGTCTATGGGTAAGAACTGTAATTGTGCTCCCTATAGAGCAGAAAAATGTCTGTGACAGCAATCTCTGGACTTTTGCATTTTCTTCAACTGTATAGACATTTCATAACTTTCCAGTTGATCCCAGACTAACAGTGAGTACTAAGAACCTAATTATTATTATTCCAGCAAATTTCATCTCTGTGACGCAGTAGTCATAATGGATATTTGGCTCAAACAAAGGGAAGATTGGGAACTTCTTATTATTGGCCATGGGCACTGAAGGATCTTAAAATAGTTACAACACAGAAAGAGGCCATTCAGCCAGTCATGTCTGTGCTGTATCTCTGTAAAAACAATTCGAATAGTGCCACTCCCTTGGCTTCTCCCCCCCAGCCCTACAAATGTTTTCTATTCAGATAATGATCCAGGTTTCTTTTGAAAGCCATAATTGAATCTGTCTCCAGCTCACTCTTAGAAAGTACATTTCATATCCTAACCACTTGCTGCAGAAATGAAAGCTACTTTACTGTTGCTTCTTTTGTCAATCATCATAAGTCATGAACCAGAAGAGATCAATGAGGACAGACTCTCCCCATCTACTCTCTACTTTGTTGACCTGCTATCAAATCTCTTCTCAACGTTCTCTTCTTCAAGGAGAGTGGCCTCAGCTGAGAGTGATTTACTTCTCCAATTTATCTATGTGTCGGATGTTCCTCATTCCTGGAGTCATTCTCATCAATCAGTTTTTCACTTGAGGCTGCACTGTATTTTATATAAAGTTATTATAACATTTTCTTGTTTTTGTAGTTATGCCCCTATTTATAAAATCCATGGGTTTTGGATTCGCTCTTTCCAAGCTGCACTGCCACTTTCAGTGAAATATACAGACATCTCCATTCCTGCACACCCTTTTGAACTATATCCATTGATTTATATTGCCTCTCTACTTCTTCTTAACAAATGAATCATTTCATATTTATCTGCATTGTTTTCTTCCAGTTGTCTGCCCATTTTTCTTTCTTTACTATGTCCTTTTAAAGAATTACGCTATTCTCCTCACAGTTCACAATAATTACAAGTTTTATATCAGCCATAAATTTTGAATTGGTGTCCTGTGCACAAGTCTACGTCAAGAAGAATGGGGATCTTAGCACTGATGTCTGAAAAGCAACAAGAAAAGATCCTGTAATGTGTAAAAATAACTGTTAGCAATATCTGGGACAGCCTGGTGGCTCAGTGGTTAGCATCACTGCCTCACAGCACCAGGGGACCCAGGTTTAATTCCACCCTCGGGTGTCTATCTTTGCGGAGTTTGCATGTTCTCCCTGGGCCTGCGTGGGTTTCCTCTGGGTGCCCTGGTTTCCTCTCACAGCCCAAAGATGTGCACGTTAGGTGGATTGGCCAAGTTAAATTGTCCATAATGCCCATGGAACGTGTAGGCTCAGGAAATGTAGAATGATAGGGATTGGGTGGGACACTGTTCAGAGCGGTGATGTGGACTCGATGGCTCAAATGGCCTGCTTCCACGTTGTAGGGATTCTATCTGCTTCCTGTACTCAGTCAATTTTATATGCAGTTTGAGAGTAACTTTGTTCCCCCTCCCATGGGTTCTAACCTTGCTCACAAGCATTGCTCAAATTTGCTGCACTTTATCAAATGCTTTTTCCAAGTCTACGTAGAATACATCGACTGCATTAACCTCATCTATACTTTCTACTGCCTTGTAAAAAAAAAACTCATGACTTTGTTAAACATGATTTATTCTAATATTCTATTCTAAAACTGCCTCTTTATTAAACCTACCACTGTCCCAGGTCCTTCCTGTTTCACTATCCCTTGCATAGCTTTTTCTTCCATGTTAATGACAGTTGAAATGTACTCATTTGGGATCACAGCTATGGCTCCTGCTTCCATGTATAAATCCCCTTTGAGATTGCTCATTGGCTTCACTCAGATATTCAGGAAGGATCAGGGTGGACAAAGAATTCAGTGCCAGTTTTGGTCAAAGTAACTGTTACATCACTGGAGAGGCATGATGTAATTTTGGGGTCAAGGACAATGTCCATTTCCTTAATTTTGAGGAACTTTTGTGTCACTAAGGTTATACTAACAGTCCAGCAGATAGTGGGAAGGAACAAAGTGTAGAAAGATGCAGTATCTATTGAGTATTCATAATGGAGTAGTTTATTTATAGACTGGGTTTTGCAATGGTGTAATAGGACAAATAGTGAGATGTTCTGAACAAGCAAATACTCTTGATCAGCATATTTCCCGTTCAGTGGGGAAGAAAGTGCTAAAGCTAGTTACTGGGAAGGAAACGGGACAAATTGAATATATTTCAGTGGGAGAACATTTGGTTAATATTACATTAACATCAAGCTTAGAATAGTCATGGAAAAGGATGAGATGCAATGAAGCGTAAAAACACAATTGGAGGAAGATTAACTTGGAAAGGAATTGAGATGATTGGGATTGGAATTTAAGGAATAAAACTCGTTGTAAAACAATAGTTAACCAATTGGAGGACTTTGAATAGTTCAGAGACAAAAGTAGACACATTTCCATTGGAGCGGTAGCAAGTTAGAGCATCCCAAAATCAAGTTCCCCGAATGATTAATGGTAGAGCAGTGAAAAAGAAACCAATAAAAGGGACTTGTGATGAATTGTAAGATTTGTAATATGGAGATCCAAACTGAATATGGAAAGTGTAGAGAGCTTGAAAAGGGAATGCGAGTGCAAGAGAGGCTAGATCAGTTGGCTGGATGGCTGGTTTGTGACACAGAGCGATGCCAAGATCATGGGTTCAACTCCCACACCAGCTAAGGTTACCATGAAGGATTGTCCTCCTCAATCTCTCTGCTCATCTGAGTTGTCTCTGTCTAATGAGACAGCAGCCCTGTGGTCTGGTAAGACAATGGAAACAATACCTTCGTGCCAGAGTATTCTTATTATAAGTCTGCCTTTACTTTATGTAAAAAAGGTGAGGTGACAAACCTCACAAAGCAAGCTGGTCAGCCTAACACTGGGAAAACCTTTACAGATAATATTGCAGGACAAAATTAATTAACATTTAGAAAACGAGCATTTGCCAATGTTCGTAGAAATTTGTTGAAAACAATTCCTGTTTGAACAACTAGGGTTCTTTCAAAGCAACAGAGAAGGACGAAGTTGTCTATATAGAATTTCAAAAGATGGTTGACAAGGTGTCATATGTCAGCAAAATTAAAACCCACACTGTTAAAGGGATCAGTGAGTCTAAAATTGGTTGAGGGAAGGAGTAGTGTTAAAATGTTGTTTTTCAGACTGGGGTGAAGTATACACTGCTGGCCCTCAGGGATGGTATTGGGACCAATGCTGTTTTTCATGATAATTATATGGACCTAGGTATAAACAGTGCACTTTCAATGTTTGGGAGTGACTCGGAAATGAGAAGGACAGTAACAGAAATCAGGAGACAATAGAGAGACTAGTGAAATGGGCAGACAGTGGTGGATGGAATTTAATGCAGAGAAATGTGAAATGAGGTATTTTGGCAAGAAGAGTCTGGTGAGACAAATCTACTAAATGGTCCACATTTAAAGAGGGTGCAAAAAATTAAGAGTTCTGGCAGGTTTTACAAAGAAAGGCTTTATGGGATCCTTAGTTTAATCAAGCGATAGAATACAAAAACAAGAGTTATGCTGATCCTTAAACATTGGTTGGGCCTTTTCTTGGAGTATTGTGTTCCATTCTGGGCATCATTAATTCAGAAAATGTTTGTTGTTAAGCTGTGCAAAATCATCTTCCCACTCATCTTCATTTAACACCAAAATTATTCTTGCATCAAGTTTTCCTTAAATGCATCCATACTATTAACCTCCATTGCCCTTTTTAGTTCAACTGTGAGTGGTTTTTCATACATTCCCAATTGGTTTTATTAGTGACAATATCATAATCATGCCCCTTGTTCTGGTTTGGCCCACAAGCCAAGACATCATCTATGTCTTTTCAATCAAACCCTTCCAGAATCATTATATTAAGACCTTTATAAATTTGCCTTTATTTCCTGTTCTCTGGAGAAAAGGGCCCTAGCCTATTCAATCTTTCCTAATGGATATAATCTTAGTTCTGTGTGACCTATTTCTTGCAGTGGTTCAGAAATAAGGCATCAATTCTCAGTTCTGAATGCTGTTTTTCCTTTCAATGCTTCATAAATGGACAGTTCTGACTAGAGTTTCTCAAGATCAGTCAGCATTTTAAAAATTCTCACACTGAGAAAAGTTTCCTATTTTATGCACAAAATTTGTGGTAAGTTGTGTATTTTTTTTTTTTCTTGCTATTTGAGTATATTTTTCATGTGGACATTATTTCAGTTTGAAGTTTTTGCCTCAAATTAGTTACCAGGCCGTGGAATATATGAGATGGGGAATGGAACCAACTACAGCTTGCCAGAAAGTTGTTGCAAGAATTCAAACGTATTATCCGAAGTTTTTTGGTGCAATCATCTGTGCGAACAGAACTGGGGGTTACGGTAAGTCTTTAAAACAAAACCTGTTGTAAGGATAAATGGTGTAACTAACTTCCTGAGAGAAAATCTAAAGCCGCACAGGAATTAGACCAGTCTTGAGTAAACTTGACTGCACTTAACATTCGTCCTATGACCTTGCAGACTCGATTTATCGTTAAGTATCTGTCCTTGCTCACTTGGATACAGGTTTGTGTTCGTTGTAACAAAAATGACAAAAGTATGTAAAATTCCGCATTTTATGCCTCCTTTCTTTTGTGCTATCGAGAGAAACATTTTGATTAACTGGCCCCAGCCACAGCTGAAACCCTGTCTTTGGACAATGCATGAAATACAACCAGAAACCTGTGAGGCCAAGTCACTGGGTATGTTCAAGACATGGATTTCTGGAGATGAATGCCATTGAGAATGTAGGGATAGTGTTGAGGTAGAACAGGCTTGGTGGACTGAATGGCCTCCTCCCCAACATTTGAAATCACTGCAATGCCTAGATACAATGTAATGATGTAAATACATAATTTCTTAATGACTAGCATCGCATACTTTTTCCAGCACATCCAAATTGATAGGGGGTGGATGGGAGAGACCAAATGGCATTATACCTGGACTTTCAAAGGCCCATGATGAAGTTTTAGCAGAGATTCTTTTTCATAAGTTAACTTAATATGTAAGATGTAAATGGTAGCTGCATAATAGGTAGATAGGTGATGGGAAATGCAGAATTACAGGGAACAAGGTTGGAGGGATGGGTCTGGGTGGGGTGCTCGATGGGCCAAATGGCATGCTTCTGCACTGTACAGATTCTATGATTCTATGAATAGGTAGGTCACAGGGATTGGAATCATCCAATTAGGTACTCTGCAGCTTCCAGACTCAACAATTTTTGGCCGTAATCTCTTCCATATTCTGATCTTAATATCGTTTTTATCTTGTTCTTATTGTCCAACAGCAGCACTTCATCATTCTGCCATTCAGACTTCTTTGAGAAACTATTGTTTCTTGCCTGTCACATAACCATTTTCTTCATGGGCCGAAGGGCCTGTATTGTGCTGTACTGTTCTATGTTCTATGTATTAGTCCTGCGTCCCACCAACCAAGTCTTACACCTTATAGATTTTTTTGTTCTTTTCAAGTCGCCCATTTGAGCTGCTTGTAACCAATTAAAATCATTTTTTCTCAGTTTTGATGAAAAATCACGAGCATAAAATGTTAATTTGGTTCCTGCACAAGCATTTTCTGCTTTTATTTCACATTTCCAGCATCTGCAGTACTTTATTTTCTAATCAAAATTGGATCTAAATAAAATTGGGTATTTGGTGGGTATGGGACGGACTTAGAGGAGGCAATCAGGATCAATACATTTGGAGAGAGAGGCCACGGAAATTCATAATGGACAATACAAAGCAGAAGAAATAGGAGCTTTATGTGAAAGGCCTGTATGAAGAGATCTAACGACAGTTGTAGATTCAAGTGTTCTCTATATTCCAATTACGAAATTTGAAAACACAGTGGACAGATTGTGGGATATAGTGCCAAATCAGTTGAGTTCATATCCATGAAGTCATGTTGAAGATGTACAGATCTGTCTTCAAAAGCAGCTGGAGCCAGAGTGTTGGACTCAGAAGCATGGTGCTACGGTGAGAAGATGGAAAGGCTGATAATACTGGAGTTGAAGAGAGCCAAAGGCATTGTCTAACTGTATGTTGTAGTGTATTGAATATTGAACTGTGCATTTTTCCACTTGAAATCACCATTCACATTTGCTAGCAAAGGGAGTATGCTAGGAACAGATTTTTAAAATTGACCCATGTTTAACAGCTTATACTATGATTCTGAATGTCCATAGCTGATTGTATAATTGCTTCTGCCAAAGAACGTTAATGTATACCATCATGAAAGGAGCTGAATATTATTTATGTGGAGAAAGGCTACAGAATGATAAATTTGGGCATCCTCGAACATGAATCACAGAATACTAGCATTTAAGTTTGTGGGTAATAGGGAAGGTAAATAGAATCTTAGCCTTTGTTTCAAAGGGAATGGAGGGTACAATAGGGGAGATTTTGGTATTGGAGCTGTCAGAAAAAGGTTCACTAAGCTGATACCAGGACAGACTGTCTTGAGGAGAGGGTGAGTAAATTGGGCCGGTCTTCATAGAGTCATAGAGTCATACAGTATAGAAACAGACACTTTGGTCCAACCAGTCCATGCCGAACATAATTTCAAACTAAACTAATCGCACCTGCCTGCTTTCCTGGTCCATATCCCTCAGATGGTGCTTGATTAAATAAATAGCTCAACCCTGTTCTGTGTAGATCTTCAGTTATAGAGATGGCCTTTTACAGTAATTAGCTGTTGGTTGTTTAGAATTTTGAATCTAGTCTGAGAATTGTTCAAGCTGACAAAACATGGCGCACTTTACTGTGTTGCATTTTAATTCATCGAAGTGGATAACCCCACTAGTAATCTAGAATATTATTCTGATCTGCAAGGATGCACAAATCAACATGTTTAGCCCTATCTCCTGGAGTGCTGCAATATGTTTTTTTTCCAGAGCTGAAAGCCAGCTGTAGTTCTTTCACAGCATGTTTCCACGCTATAAGATTGAGACACTTTACAGAAATGTCGAGTAAAAAATATCTGCTGGAAAAAAAACAGATTGAATTTATAACCAGCTGACTGGTTTAGTTTTGTCTCACCCATTCACTACCTGCTGGGAAATAGGTAACGAATATTGCAAAGTATAAATGTGCAAGTCTACATTTATTGTCCTGTGAGACCTCTAAAGGATAGAATGCTTGAATTCTGAATATCAAAACAACTCAATCTTTTCCGTCCAGGGGACATTTGCAGCACAAATTTTGTCAAAGGAGTGAAATAGACACTGGAGTTGGCTTAATAGAGAATGTTATTGGAGAATGGTACATAAAACTGAACATAATAAATAAGGAGCATGAGTCGGCCATTCAGCCCTGTGAGTGCTGACAGGATCATAGCTGATCTGATCGAATGGCTTCAACTCTGCATTTCTGCCGACTCACTATATCCTTTGATTCCTTTGGCATGATATTCTGGCAAAAATAATGTTATCATTTTGATTCCTTTCCCTCCTGGGACATTTTTCCTCCTGGCTTAATGAGCAAAGAGAATACTTCAGCGAAGTTATTGTAAAGAATGGAAAAGTTTTTTACAAATTAAAAATAACAATAATGCCACTGAATTCTTCTGGGCTGTTAAATTTTACTCAGATCAGGTTTTCCTTTTAATTAATTAATTTTTTGTTAAATAATATTTTAGAGGGTTGGTGTGGCCTTTTGCACCAACTTTCAAACGTATCATATTACTATAATTTAGAGAATAAGGGAGTTTGCATAGAGCGACCCAAGGTATATCTGCTCTTGAAAAGAATGCTGTGGTCCAGGAAAAAAACGCAAGAACTATAGTCTGCCACAAAGAATCCAAATACATAATGATGACATCAGAAGAGTTACTGGACCTGAAATGTTAACTCTGCTTTCTTCCCACAGATGCTGCCAGCCCTGTTAAGTTTCTCCAGCGATTTCTGTTTTTGTTTCAGAGAACAGTGAATTGTGTTGCATAAGTATCACTGACTCCAAAACTGATGATAGAGAGTGAGATACAGTATTCTGCTGGCTTCACTTCAAGAAATAGCCATTTATAAATGCCACATTTCCAATTCCTAACCCTCGACCTATCAATTCTTGGCCCAATATGGGAATTGTGAATGTAGCTCTTAAATACCCTGTATTTTAGGATTGTATTTCGTCTGTTGTTGGATTTGTAGGAGTTATTAATGATTATAGCAGTGATTTCTGATTAGTTTTTAGACTCAGCCAGTGCCATCAATTACTACCTATCAGGACTCAGATCTTATTTGGCTATTTTTGTGTTGAGCTTCCGGTTCTCTCGTGGGTCTTTTTCTAATATTGACATGATAACATTTTAAGGATAGAAGAAGTCGCACTAATCTCTGCGTAGCTGTAATGTTTTTCAAACAAAAAAAATCCCAACCTCCAATTTACTTAAAGTTTGCTCTAGCGTTATTTGCAAACGGAGAGGGGAGGCGATGGCTTAGCAGTATTATCACTGGACTATTAATCCAGAGATCCAGGTAACGTGGTGGGAACTGGGGTTTGAATACCAGCACAATTCAATTTTAAAAAGTCTGGAATCAAGAGTCTAATGATGATCAATTGTCAGGAAAAAGCCCATCCTGTTCACTCATGTCCTTTAGGAAGGAAACTGCCATCCTTGCCTGGCCTGACCTACATGTGACTCCAGAACCACAGCAATATGGTTGATCCTTTGGGATGGGCGATACATGCTGGTCTAGCCAATGACGCCTTCATCCCATGAATGATTTTTAAAAAATTTTCAAATTTCCAAATCCCTTGGTTAATCCATTTGAGATCCAGTGAGATGTTAGGAGAAATCATTGATTGAATTGGATACTGCACTGCAATTTCAAGTTGGATACCAAGATATTTGTTGACAAAAACAAAGTGTTGCAGATGCTAGAGAAATGATCTTTAAAAAAAAATGCGCTGGAGAGACTCAGCAGGCCTGGCCGTGTCTGTGAAGAGTGATCTCGTGTACACTTGGGGACACCAAACGCAGACTCAGTGCCTGCTTTGCAGAATGGGTGTGCCCTGTCTGGTAAATGGCCTCAACCTGCCGCTCTGACATTTCAATACTCCATCTTGCTGTTGTCCTAATGTTTTTGTCCCAGGCCTGCAGCGGTGCTCCAGTAAAGCCCAAAGCTGGCTGGAGAAACTGCACCCCATTTTCCATTTTGGCACTTTACAACCTTCAGGATTCAACATGAAGTTGAAAATCTTCAGACCATGAATTCTGTCCTCCATCTTGAATAATCCACTCTCTGACACCATGTGGCTTGATGTGGAGCTACCTATTTTCTGCTATTCACATTTTTCATTAACACACTCTTCTTCTATATCTCTCGCTTTACTTCTATTAGCACACTGTGCCTTTTGCTCCAGGGCAGTTTTCCGACCTATTTCAGTTGCTCTTCCTTCCTGCCTCTGTTTATCTTACAGCTTGAAGCCCATCACTTTTCCAGTCTCTTCTACTTCTAAAGAAGAGTCAGATTGGACTTAAAACACTTGTCAGCTGTTTCTCTCTCTGACAGATGAAACTAGAGCTGTTGAGTCTTTGGTCAGGCCATTTCCAATTATTCCAGATGAGGACAACTGTATTCTCACCTCAAAGTTACTATGGCTGATCCATCAACATCAACTGAGGTTGCTATCACCTTGGACTGTAGCAGCTTAAGTGTGGCCAGACCATCTTTGTACTACACCTCTGTTTGGCTGCCTGACTAATTGGCCAATAAATGCAAATATAAGCTGAGGCCAGCATTGGTTTTCTTTGTGTTGCTCTCACCTTAACGCAAATGTAAAAGGCACCCCGTTTTGTTAAAGGTATTATGCAAATGAAAGTTATTGTTGTTGCCATCATGTTGCGAATGGTAGAATCATACAGTACAGAAGAGGGCCTTTGGCCCATTGATTCTATTCGCCAAAAATATACAACTGCCTAATCTCCTCCTACTTTCCTGCATTAGGCCCTTAGCCTTGAATATTTTGCATATCAAGTGGTCATCCAAGCACTTTTTAAAGGTCGTGAGGTTTCCTGACTCAACTAACCTCCCAGGCAGTGTATTCCAGACCTTGACCACACTGGGTGAGAAAGGTCTTCTTCAAATCTTGTCTAAACATGCTGCATTTCATTTTAAAATTATACCCCATGTTATTGACCATTCAGCTAAGGGGGACAGCTGCTTTCTATTCACCCTGTCCATGCTTCTCATCATCTCATATTCCTCTATCAGGTCCCCCCTCAATCTTCTCTACTCCAGTGAAAACAACCTGATTTTATACAGCCTCTCTTCATTAGTTGAAATATTCCATCCAGGCATCCATCCTGGTGAATCTCCTTTGAAACCCCTGCAGGGCTTCCTATAGAGTGGAGACCAGAATTGCACACAGTACTCCAGCTATGACCTAACCAAAGTTCTGTACAGCTCCAACATAACCTCCCTGTTCTTATAATCTATGCCATGAGTGACAAAGGCTAGCATCCTGTATGCCTTCTTAACTACCCCATTAACCTGTGCTGCCACCTCCAGGGATCTTTGGACAAGCACTCCAAGATCCCTCTGTTCCTCTGAGCTTCCTAGTGTCTTTCTATACTGAGTCTGACTGGTTATTCTAAATATTATACATTATTAACATTTGACAATAAATTATACTACTAAGAGAGCCTGATAATTCCAATTGGCTTTGCTGAATAGCCACTGGAACAGGTATTTTGCGAAGGCAATTGAATTGGGTCCAAGATCAGGTCACCACTCTTGACCATAGTGTAAGGTTTAACAGACATGACAAAAATATTTGAAGCAGTTACTTTGCAGCTTTTCATACCTTCTTAACAATGAGATTCCTGAATGAATTATTCTTTCCCAGAATGGGAAGAGGTAAGTGCAGATTGGGCAAATGAAATGGGTAGAAATAGAAGGGGAACAAAGGAAGGGGTGAGGCCTTTTGTTTTATTCATTTGTGGGACATGGGTGTCACTGGCTGGGCCAGCATTCATTGCCTGCCCTGAATTTCCCTTGAGAAGGTGGTGGTGAGCTGCCTTCATGAACCACTGCAGTCCACCTGCTGTGTGTTGACAATGCTATTAGGAAGGGAGCCTAAAACGTACAAAAAGCAATTCAATCTGCTAGTTTCCAAAGTATATTCAAGATTGATCATCAAAGTTGTATTATAATTAGTATTGTTGATTTTTAAAGAGTGATAGATTTTCATCTTTATAAAGATTCTGCTTCTTTTGACTTTGTAGTTCGTGATACTCACCTAAAGCAAAACAAGAACAATGGTCAAATTGGGGGAGAATTGTTCTGCGGTAGATCACATTGCAATAGTTGGAAATTTACTATTACCTTTCTTTTTGAAAAAAATGTGACTTTTCACAGTGACATAAGGTTGAAGTTCATTCAGTTGTAAATATGTATCACTCAAAACCATTAGAAACATTTTAGAACAAGGACCATGTGGTTCAAGATAACAAGCTCATTGCTGTTGAGTTACATTAACCATAACTGAGTCTTTCTATTTTTTTTCCTTTTAGGTGCTGCATGCAGTAAATGTCCAGGGTTCGACCAATTCCACTTTATGGTTTACAATCCATCAGAGACCTCAGAACAGATAGTGGATTGCATTTAAAGCTACTGTGATGCATCACTTTCAAAGACTTTTAGGGCTTGTTACCATTTGCACTCAATTTTGAACCCAAATGACACCTCTCAATCAGCTGCAATCTGTTAAAGTATAGAAAGAAACCTTGTTTGTCATGTACATTGGTAACTAAACCATATTGATTGTCAATTTAGTGTATGCAGATTGTTTGTATTTGAATTTTGAGGTGTACTCTAAAAGTGAACACACTTCTTTCATGTGCATGCACGTGAACACTTGACCTTTCAGCCCCCACTGAGCTTGTGCCATTATCACATCCATGATTTATCTATACCATGAGTCCATTTATCTACCCTTTGACCATTTTAAGAGAAATTTGGAACCTTAATGAAAATAAGTAATTAGAGAACCCTAAAATTGTACGAGCAGCAATCATTCATGTCGGTATGTTTGCAAATGCATGAGATCTGTAAGAACATGACTCGGTCTTCCATCCCCTCGAGCCTGTTGTGTAATTCAATGAAATGATGATAGATCAGAATCTCATTTCCATTCATCTGGGACTAGATTAATTCTGAAAACTGGGCAGCAGGCAGCCAAAAGGCCTGTTTCCATGCTGCAATTGTCTCTGCTTTTGATCCATATCTTTTGACTTTTCCATCAGATAATTGATTGCGCTCTCTTGTTCAGAAAATTTCAATTGAACTAGCATCTACAGCCTCTTTTGAGGGTAAAGGAGCAGTATCTGTAAAAATGTACTGTGCTGGAATGAGAAGCCATGATTTCAGACCTACCTTTGCATGGTGGTCTTAGTACAACTCCAAATTGTCAGACTGACCTACTGCTCCCTGAGTGTACTAAACTCAGACACAAGACCATCCCTATTTAAAGAGCCTTTCATCACTTTGAGCCCTACTGGGTGCACCATCATTTCAGCCTCAGGAAAAGCAACAACTCCCAAGTGTTCTGGAGGAAATTGTTAAACATTTAAAAAGAAAGGTACTGCCACTATAATTACCCTAACATTAAAACTTAGCTGCCTAATGATCTGGTTTCTGTGATGTGTACAAATTAGTGGAGGGAGAACATAATGAAGAGTTGTACTCAAAATATGACTTTTTTTTTGCATGTTGCATTTTATAGATACTTACAGATGAATTGTTGCAGTTGAAAGGCACTCCTGACAAGTTTTTCTTGTATTTTTAATTGACCTTTCAGACTTGCTATGACATACCTCTGGGGCAAGTGCACTTGAACCTGTTGAACTGTTTTGTTTGCAAATAGCAATCATTGGGATGGTTATGCAGAGCTGTGCTGAACTAGCTGTACAGCAGCTGCCTCTGTTAGACAACACTTTTGAAACTGCCACAAATGTCAATTTTCTGCTTAACTCATGGACTACCAACCGTTGTTGATCGTCAAGCTTCAGTCAAGCAGTTCTCCATTTACCACTTAAATACGTTGATGCGTTTTTTGACGTTAACATAAGCTTAACCCTTGCAAATCATAATGAGTAAGATGATCAGATCATATGTCCCCTCAAGTCACGGTTATTCAATATGATTATAGCTGATATTTTATATCAGTTCTAAACCTGAAATGATTGCAATTGTCAGAAAAAGATGAAATATATTTTTTTTGTACACAGTGACTGCTATTAAAGAATTTAATAAGATTTTCACATTTTTGTAGAGGATGATTTGATTTTCTGAACATTTCTATAATTCAAAAACAATTTGCGTTTATGGAGCGATGTTAACATGGTAAAGATGTCTGAAAATGTTTCTCAGGAGTTCTACAATTCAGATAATCTCTTGTTGGCTTTCTGGTTTCAGCTTTTTATAGCTGAAACAAGCAGAGAAACTGAAGCAATGTTTCACAACCAACTTTGTTCATCTACAGAATGATCCACAGTAATTTACCAAGCCTCAGTTAAGGTAATCTCACACACACGTGCCCAACACCCATCTAGTAGTGCGCTAATCCCAATTTCTTGCACTTGCCCCAGATCATTGAATTTTTTTCTGAAGAAGGGTCTAGGCCTGAAATGTCAGCCTTCCTGCTCCTCTGATGCTGCTTGGCCTGTTGTGTTCATCCAACTTTACACCTTGTTATCTCGTTGAATGTTGTGATATTTGAAGTACTCAACCAAATTTTTTTAAAGGTTGTGAGGTTTCCAGCTTCCAATACCTTCCCAGGGAGTGCGTTCCAGATTCCCACCACCTGCTTTTTTTTCCTGTGATTGACCCCTCACCCAAGGGGAACAGCTGCTCTCCATTCATCCTGTCTATACCCCTTAATCATGTCCCCCCTCAGTCTTCTTTGCTCTAGAGATAACAAGCCAAGTGTTATGGGCCAGACTAAACCCCTTTAAATTATATTAAGAGGACAGCCTAGATTTTTTTTCAAGAAGATTTGTAGCTTGGGTTGTGGATGAGGTTGTTTGGTCACCCTGCTAGGTAACATCATCATTGCGCCTCTGGTGAAGCATTGGTGTTCTACAACCTTCTATCACTACACTTTGTGTCCTATCACTAAACCAGTTTCTGATCCATCTCACCAGGTTTCCCTCAGTTCCATGTGCTTTAACCTTCTCAATCAGTGTTCCATGTCGGACCTTGTCAAAAGCTTTGCTAAGATCCCTATAAACTACATTCACTGAACTTTCCTCATCCATACACCTGATCACATTTCAAAAAATTCTAACAAATTTGTTCAGTATGATCTCCCTCTGACAAAGCTATGCTGACTCTCCCTAATTAACCTATGCCTTTCCAAGTGGGTATTAACTCACTCCTTCAAAATTTTCTCCAATAGTTTCCCTACTACTGACCTGAGATTCACCGGTCCATAATTTCCCGGTTCATTTCCACCACCCCTCTTAAAAAGTGGAACATTATTAGCCATCCTCCAGTCCTCTGGCACTTCCCCCGTGGCCAGAGGGAAATTAAAAGTGTGTCAGAGCCCCCGCAGTTTCCTGCCTTGCCTCTCACTGCAGCCTGGGATACATTTCATCCGGGCCTGGGGAGTTGTCTGTCTTTAAGCCCGTCAGAGCCTCCAATACCTCTACATTTCCTCTGTCAGTGGATAATGGTTGCATGCGGAGTTCAGCCATTCTAATATTCCATGGTCAACTTGCTGATGCGGGTCACAGCACTGATTTCCAATTGCAGAGCTTACTGCTATACATGCACCTCTGTGGTCCGCGCAGTAGCGAGGAAAAAATCGGGGGAATGCTGGTTACCACTGCATTACCAGTTGCCATTCATACAGGCCATATACTTTGCTCACCAATTTCTCAAGAGGTCCTGCCACCTTTTACAGATCTTACAAATGCACTCCATCCCTCTCTGTCATAGAGTCCCAGTGCTATTAAGTGTCTTGCCTTTTCCAATTCCCTCTATTAAACTCACTTAGAGTATTAAATTCCATCTGCCGCATATCACCTTTTGTCTTGTCGGTCTAAAGATATTACAGCAAATTCTGATTATTTTTATTGCCTGCTCCTATAACCAAAAGCAAAGGAACTGGGGCGTATATGTTTGTATTAAAATTCAAGAATTCGAGGAACTAAATATATGTAATAAAAATATCATTTATCTTCCCCGTTAAGTTAGCACGTTCTACAAACACGTAGGGGCGGTGCCTTCAGACAAGGATAGACGGGTGTGGGAAGTAAATTTTGCAGTGAGTGGCCAAATAGCCAAGTTTGTTGCGGCAGCCGCCGTATGCGAGTGAGCTGGTCTTGACGGGCTGAGTAGTAGCGGGACTTTCTGTGAATGAGACCCGGAGTTTCTGTGAATGGGGGCCCGCTTCGCGTTGCTATGGGATCCCCGGGCTACGTTCCACTGATCCTCGCGCTGAGCGCCTCCTGCTTCCAAGCGGACGCCCAGATCCCCCTGGTCATCGCGACCTGGCCTAACCAAGTGGCTGTGGTGGAAGGTATGTGCAAGCGGGCATTGCTGTCACTCCCCACTTCAATGCATGGTTACGTCTGTGTAAACTGAAAACTATTGCAACCTTCTGCATATTTGCTGATTTTAAGAATATTAGTTGCTTGTTCGAGGGAGAGGGTATTGGCTGTATTTAAAACTCAAAATAGACGGCTTTTTCATAAGTGTAACTCAACTCTTTCAACCACGAGATTGGGGGCGATTTGCAGTTATTGTTAAGTTTAAATGCTCCCTTTAAAGCTATATCATTGCATATACTGCTGGTTGCATTGGGGAAATATGCCTAGAGAAAAATTTATCTTTTTGTCACCGAATTCCACTGTGAATAAACCTTCATTCGTGCAAAAAACTGCTTTCATGCAGTAACTCACACCAACTCCTGTCAATTCCCTAAAATGTCCATTGCCTGGAATGGAAATGGCTTTGTTTAAGATCTGTGTAATTTCTCACCATGACTTATTTATATCACCTCTGTCAACGAACAAACAACTGAAATTTAAGTGCATCTTTAACTCTTCCGAAAATATCACAACGTGCTTCATCAGGGCATGGTAAACCGATATGTCACATGAAGGCACAATAAGGTAGTGGAGTAGATGATCAAAAGCTCGCTCAAAAAGGTCGAGCGTGTGAGCTAAAAGAAAGTGGCGACTGAGAAGGAAAATCCTGTAAAACTGGTGAATGTCATCAAATGGTCTGATTCATTTTATACACTTCAACATAGAGGACCAGCATATTAATTTACAACTACTTATTGTTTTTATTCTTTTCCTTCCAGCGAAGTTTGTGGGGAAGGAATAAAATGCAAGGCATGGCCACCAATAATGAACAATTAAAATCAGGTCTCCAGAAGAGCCCAGTATTAGAGAGAGGAGTTAGAGGATGGAGGAGTCAGAGTGGGGAAAACTATTGAGAATGTGGGAGCATAAGGGTGATGGGGGAAACCCACACTGGAGCAGAATAGGTCAGGGGCAACAGAGTTCTGGATGATCTCTGGTTTGTAGAAGTTAGGAGTGTGTTGGAATAACAAAGTCTAGAGGTGAAAGGAGCACAGATGAGAGGCTTTCAGCAAGAGATAAGTTGAGACAGGACAGAGTTGTGAAATATTCTAGAGGTGATCTTGGCAATAGTTTGCCATCTATGCTCATATCTATCACGACGTAAGGAATATGTAGAAATGAGTCACCTTAACCATCTCCAGTTATGAAATCCATTTCTGCAGAGAGGCAGTGGCCTAGTGGTATTATTGCTGGATTGTTAATCCAGAGATTCGGATAACATTCTGGGGACCTGGGTTCGAATCCTGCCATGGCAGATGGTGAAATTTGAATTCAGTAAAAATCGGGAATTAAGAATCTAATAATGACCATGAATCCATTGCCGATTGTTGGGAAAAACTCATCTGGGTCACGTATGTCCTTTTCGGGAAGGAAACTGCCATTCTTACCTGTTCTGGCCTACATGTGACTCCAGTCCCACAGCAATGTGGTTGACTTTGAACTGCCCTCTGGACAATTAGGGATGGGCAGTAAATGCTGCCTGGTCGCCCTCGTCCCATGAATGAATTAAAAAAAAAGCTATAACACAGCAGTCAAACTGTGCACAGAAAGATCATACACATGGGTGGAACCATGACCAGATAATCAGCTGGAAGTGAAACTGAGGAATAAATAATGGGCAAGAATTCTGCAATTCTCCTCTTCTTCAAAATTGTATCATGGAATTTTTTTTATGCCCACTTGAAACATTGACATTATCAAGTTCTGTGCCCCAGCTAGGCTGAGGACATGGGAGTTTACTGGTTGAATTGGTGAGAGCGGTCAGGGCACAGCCATAGGTCTGGTGGGTACTGAGGTGCTCTGGAACTTTGTCTCTGCAGCATTAAAATAGAGAGGCTTTCCAACCTTCGAACATAGAACAGCACAGCACAAGAACAGGCCCTTCAGCCCACCATCTCTGTGCCAACCTTGATGTCATTCTGAACTAATCCCATCTGCCTGCACATGGTCCATGTCCCTTTATTCCCTTCCCGTTCATGTATCCGTTTAAATGCTTCTTAAACATTGCTATTGCATCTGCTTATATCCGCCACCCTTGTGTGATGATACTATGGCCTTAAGAGGTGTACTTTGTCCTTTTTATGAAGAAAGGTTGAGACCGAGGTGTTGATCAGTCTACTCAGAGCCCATAAAGCAAACAATTTGTGAGGCTATGGGTTTTTTGTTTTAAATTTGGTACAATAGAAGCAGCCTGAATGGCTGGGGTCAAGCTCCCACAGAACCAGGATTTTTAATTTTAGTTTTGCACTAGCAGTTATTGGGATCTTGAAGCTGGAGTTTGGAAGCTGCCGTATGTCTGTCCCTGCTACTCTCTCTCTGAGTTTTCTCTTGTTTCTTTGTACCTCCTGGACTGGGGAATCGCCTGTGAGACAATCTATTTTACTGAATTTGCTGTTGCCAAGGGTGAGTTTATGGGATTTTACTATATTTACTGTTTAGTAAGTAAATAATCCAATACTCTGTTACGTTTTCTAATAGAGTTTAATTATTTCAATTTCTTTTTTCTTTTGTTGTATTTTAACTACAATGCATGCATAAAGTGTGTATTGCTTCCAGACTGCTAGTTTACCCAAGCGAATTGCATCTGAAATGTAACGCCTGGCACTTGCCTTTACAACTAAGAAAAAGTTAGGGTCTAGGCTGTCCTCTTAACATCGTTTGAGAGAGTT